GTACTTGAGCATCTAGGAACTTTCTCACCCACAGGAGCGGGGTCCTAAAGCTCATTTCCTGAAGGTACCATGGGATGGCTGTTCATGGGATGGTTGCAGGAGGATGTGTTGAAGTAATGCAAAGAAAGCACTTGGCCCAGAGCCAGAGATCAATGTTAAGGTGGACTCCTTTCAAGGCATCAGAGAGACTTGAATTTAAATCCTAACTCTGGTGTTTACTGCTGTGACCTTGGTCAGGAGTTTTGGCCTCTGAGCTCAGCATCCTGATGTGTAGAGTTTTTTTTTTTTTTATTGAGTTTATTGGTACATTCTAAGTATACAGTACAGTTACATTCATTACTGGGAACTTGTACCTTTACATGACAGGTCTTGGATCTCATTTTTTCCCCTTGTCCCTACCCTCCCTTCACCCCTTCCTCCCCTCCCCATTTACAAACACTTTAATTCCATTTTTTCATTTTCTCACATTTTTTTTCTTTTCCCTTATTCCCCTTCTCCTACCCTTCCTACTTTCCCTACTGATGCGTAGAGTTGGAGAGACCTGCTTAATAAATCAGTGGCCTCAGCTGACAGGTAGGAAGTCGTGTCAGATGAGGCCCTGAGATGCCAGGCGTCTGAGATAGTCGGAGCTTTTGTCTTGCTTCTGTCTATCTTGAAGATGTCCCCAGAAGGGCAAATCCTAGTCCAGGAGGGTGGCTTGAGCTTGGCACACACATGCAGCCCTGCTCATCCACGTGGGCGTGCTGTCTCGGGTTGATAGAGCCACTGAGAGGAAGCCGTACATGGATGACCACATTTCGGATCCAAGCATCATTGGCATTCTGAAGAAGTTCACCTCCCAAGGCTGTTGTTCAGACTGTTGTGGCTTTTCCGTGCTGCTCACAGGCCAAGCCTGGTTCAGCCATCTCCCTCAAGTCCTTGCTCCCTGAGCTGGAGCTATGGAGGAGTAGAGAGACCCTGGGTGCCTGAGACCTGCAGCCAGGAGGACGGTCAGAAGTCAAGCCAGTGGGCTCTGCTGCTTGGCTCTGTCAGGCTTTGTCATCCATGCCCATGGTCAGAGCACAGGATGGCTTAGCAGTGATGTAGACAGAGGTTAGGGACGAGGCTGCCTAGGGTCAAATCAAAGGACTGGCCACCAACCAGTCTCTAAATTCTGGTCCTCCCAACCTGATCTTGGGTACGGCACTAGAGTGACAGTGCCTGTGCTGTCCAGGTGCTGTGACAGAACTGTGTGGTGTGATTCCAAGATGGGCACCTCAACAGCTCTGAGACAGGTGCCACTCACAACGGATACCGTGAAGCAGTGGGGCCAGCATGCGCTCGTCCCCTTCAGTGTGGGCAGTGTGGGTATGCGTCTTATCATCCATGTAACTCAGAGTCAGAGAGCACATGCCGGACAATGTCAAACTCAGACAGGGAGTAGAAGAGGAGCACCAGGCTGGGGCCCCTGGGAGCCTCCCAGCTCAGTGATGGAGGCATCCCTCTGAGCAGGAGCCCTGAGGATCCCTCCTCTCAGGGCCCCTGTGTGTACGTGCCCAGCAGGGTGCCCACATGCAGCAGGTGTTCGATAAATGACCACAATACTGGGAAAAATGGAAAGCACAGACCCTGGGATTTCCATTGCTGCCCCACTACTTCTTGGCTGTGTGACCTGCTGCAGGTTTCTTAATTTCTGTGTGCCTTCATCCTTACTATCTATAAAACGGGAACAACAAAGTGTATCCGAATGCTAGACTTGCGAGGCTTACGTCAAATGACAGTTAGGACAATGCTTGGCAGAAATTTAAGCAGTTATTATTTGATGAACTTCTCATGAGTTTCTTCTAGTCAATAAATGGTAGTTAGAATGAACACCATGCTCCACAAAACAGTAGTAGTAAAAAGAAAAAAAAGATGTAGTCAATTTATGGCAGGAGCAGCTGAGGCCCAAGATGCCCATGGTCACACACATCTGGCACTCACAGACCCCAGTACCCAGACACCAGTCCCGCATCACCTCCCCAATGTCGGCCCAGCGTTCTATGGAGGAGGGAGTTCTAGCATGAGAGGAGGGAAGACGTCACAGCCACATGCAGCATCAGCTGGGCTGGGCACCGCGGAGGAACTGGAGCTCTCCCCAGCATAGTTTTCATCTCCGGCACGTTTCTGTATGTTCCCCTCATGCAAGAGGAAGTAAGTGGCATAGCCGGGCTTCCCACTTTGCCCACCACTGCCCAAGGTCAGCAGAGCCTGCCAGCCACCCTGCTGGCCCAGCAGCCGGTGCTTTCCTGGCCTTGTAGTGGCTTCTCGGTGATTACTGCAGAGTTGACACAGCAGAACTCCCTTCTGGAGAGAGCAGAAGGCCTGGCTAGGCAGCTGGTCCAGCCCCCAGGCAGCGTGAGGACCACACAGTGGGTTGGAGGTGGGGCAGCAGAGACCTGGTTACATCCCAGCCTCAACAGACATTCCAAGTGACCTTGGACGCGTCCCAGGTCACAGCCTCTTTCTGGGCATCAGTGTCTCATCTTAGAAACAAGGGCTTTGGAACCAGATGGATGCCCTGTGACTGGAAGCGTCTGAAATTTGAAGTTACCTAGTCAAGATCACAGGAAGGGTGAAGTGGGGAAAGGAGCTCATGTCCCTGAATGGAGTACACACTGTGGGTCTCGGATCAGGGGCTGAAGAGCAAGTACAAAGCAGCACTCAGAAGAAAGGGGCAGAAGGAGGAAGCAGGGTGGGAGGAGCTAAGCAAGCACATGCTTTGTTCCTGAGCCTCACCTATCTGAGGGGGTCTCTGGAGCATGGCCTTGCACCCCACAATTTCCTCTGCCTTATAGCAAGAAAGCTGGTGCTTTGTACCCTGTGTGAGACAGTTCTGGGCCATGGCTGCTCTCAGAGCAGAGTGGTGTGTCACCTGCTGGGTGATGGCTCTGTCCCCCAGTGGTGTTCAGGGCAGGCAGCAGTCAGGAGCTGCAGGCAGGTGACGGCACTGGGTGAGGTGGACATGGGCCAGTCTTTCATGTGTATTTGGAACACAGAGATTGCTGGGTACCAGTCTCTTCCTAGTAAGTACCTGAAGGCAGGAGATCAAGAGCTCTTCAGGCCACTTCTGAATGTATCACTTTACATGACTCAGTTCAGATGAAAATGAGGCCCTTCTCTTCCTCCCACCTCAGCCAATTCAGGTTTCTGAGCTCAGAGCATCTTGGAGTGGAGGTAAAACCAGACCCACAAAACCAATTTGTTACATGCTTGGTATGGGCTAGACCATGTGCCGGCTCTTCCTAGAGCCCAGGGATGAATCTGAACCAGAGATGATTCTTGCAGTGGAATCAGGGCCGTCCCCGCTATGAGGTGGCAACAGATAGCAAGGGCCTAGCTGCCTTGGCCTCACCAGCCAGCCATCGGATGTCACAGGGCCTAACGTCCTTGTCTGTAAAATGGGCCAGTGGTGAGGAGTGTGTGGCCCGGCCTACTCCCGTGCTCAGTGCATGGAGTGAGATGAAATCCAGTGTAGCTCATTACGGGGCCCAGCCCTGTGTCTGGGCACTTCTCTGTCCTCTCTGGGACTATGTCTGCCTCAGTGGCCTCAGGAAAGCAAGTTCTGAGCAGAATATGGACCCCAGCTTCCCTGTTCCCAGGCACTGCAGGGGCAGTGCAGGCACATGGAGATGAATGCTAGGGCTCACCTCCCACTTTTCCACACAGCCTCGGAGCACGCTGTAACAGTCACAGGAGCGGCCTCAGTGTGCACAAAGCCCTCTCCCTTTGCTGCTGCCCTGGCCCTGTGTCCAGGTGAGCAGTGGTTTCCAAGCCAGAAAGTAGTTTATCCAGGCTCTCATAGAGAGGAAGGGCGGAGTCAAGAGCCCAGGCAGCCCGGGTGCCGAACCCCAGTTCCTCCTCACCCTCCTGTGTATTCTTGGCCCCGGGGGGCCTGAGGCTATAGCTGAGGTGGCACAGGGAGCAGAGTGGATCCTGGAAGACTCTGTCCATGGTACCACCCACCTCCCCAGGCTGGAAGAACAGAGACAGGAAGAGGAGAACTCCTTCCTAGTTATCCCCACACAGCTGCACCGGGGCAGGGCACCCTGAGGCTGATTCCTTGGCAGCCACAGGCCTGGGCCTCAGGAATTGGCCATGTCCTTGGTTATCCTTTCCCCCTAACAGACATCAGCGATCTTGGAAGGATTGGCCACACTGGGGCCACCTTTTGGGAGGAGGCACTTCACTTTTTGAGCATCTGCCAGAGCTGGTGGAGGAAGCTGTGGCCCAGACCTCAGCATCATGGCTGCCGAGCTGCACCCTGGAGTGAGAGACCATTCCTCTCTGAGCTCCTGTGTTTTCATCTCTGTGGTGGGGGGTGACTGTGGCCACGGTGGACGTTACTAGGATTGGGGAAAGGGCTGTGCACAGCCCCTGCCAGGGCTATCTTGTTGTCCTAACTGGCAGCACATGGCCCTCATGTCTGTCGTATTTTTTCCTCACTTTGGGTCCTCGGGCTCAGGGATTGCCTCAGTCACACAGTACTTTAGCAATAGAGGGCGAGAGGGTGCTGGCCAGCCACTGTCCTGTGAGGGCTGACTGTGGTCATTTGGGGACCTGAGAGGGAAGCGGGAATACTGTGCAGTTTTTTTTTTCTGCCGGGGACACAAATTTCCAGGTGCAGAATTGTAGCAACTTCCAGGAAAGAGACAACACCAGGCAGTGGTGAAGGGCAATCCCTACAGCTGAGGGCCTGTGGTGACCCCCAGCATCTCCTCCCTGTTTGACCAGGAGCAAGTGACCTGGCCCCTGAATGCTTCAGTCTCACTGGGAAAGGTGAGCATGGGCGCCAATCTCAGTCAGTTCATGCACACGTGGGTCCTTGACAGGCCCGACACTCCGGGAAGCATCTCTGTGGAACCGAGGTGAGGAGGGGCATCCTGAATCTTGGACCAGCCTCCTCTGGGCCCCTGCAAGCATTGTGTGTCTTGCTTGTGAGCTTGCTGACTGGAATATTGACTGCAGGATGAGCACCTGTGGAAGAGGTGAAAGGACGGCCTTCCAGGCCCCATGTCCTCTCCGGGCCCCTTACTCACCTGTTCCCAGGTGGCCGGAAGGAGCCTTTACGCCATGTTGGATTGTGTCCCTGTTTCTTTTTCTTTCTTTTTTCTTTTTTTTGTGACCCTGTTTCAAATGCCACAGTCATCTCGTGGGACACAGACCCAGCAACTCCTCCCCATAGCCTATGACCTTCCAGGGTTGGCCACACACCTCGGCCCCTGTCCCCAGGGTTCTCTAGCTTCGTAGCCTCCTCCATTCTTCACGCTTGGCAGCCAGCCTCTTTCCTGCCCCAGGCCTTTGACATGTTCTGTTTCTCCGTTGAGAAGTCTGTCTCTGTGACTCTGTGTGTATGATAGGGTTATTTTCATTGGGGCTGTTCCTGATCTATGTGAAGAGCTTTCTCCACCCCTGCCCAGTGTTCCCAGTTGTGGCCCCTGTTTTCCACTGGCACTTACCACACGGGATGATGTTCTCTGTGTCTATTCCCTCAGCTGCCGAGGACAGGAAGCTTGTCTATCTTACTCACTCTTGTACTCAGGAGCCTAGGCCAGGTGGGACTCAGCAGATGTCTGTGGAGGGAGTGAGAGAAGGAAGGAAGCCATGAGGTGCTGGCCAGCCCTGGACAGGTGGCTCGGAAGGGACACAGACCTGCTCCGCTCTCCCAGGGCACGTGGTGGTGCCAAGGAGAAGCCGTCATCCTAGAGAATATTCTCTGAAGATGTGCGGTGTGTCTTGGCTGGTCAGGTTTTGTCCGGCGTCTGTGCAATTTGAAAGGGCGATGCTCTCCTTCTCCCTCAACCTCACACGGAGGCAGGGTCTGCAAGGTGGTGGAGAAATGAGAGTGGAGCTGCTGCTCAGCGTGGAGGGTAAGGGCACAGGGTCATCCTGCAGGCCATGTTCTGAGCTGAGGGGGGCACATCTGCGCTCCACTGGTACCAGCTAATACAGGGCCTGCTGGGCAGGGGTCCTGGGGGAAGAGCACTCTGCTGTCCTGTTCCTTGGTAAATTGGGTTTTGTTGCATTGTTTGTAGCACCACTATGTACTTTCAGGCTTGAAAGAGCCCTTAATGATGGGTTTGGAAACCAGGCCTTAATAGGGGAAATTTCTACTCATTAGGCCCAAATGGGCTGAGCTCCGGGAAGAGCTGGTGCCTGTTGCCCATGGCTAACCTGTAACTCGCCAAAACCCCCAGCCTCTCTCAGAGCAGAGCATGTCACAGAGATAATTGCTGGGTCCCTGGCCCACCGAGCAACCAGACAAGGAGCCAGGCAGCAACTGCTTGGAAAACCCTATTTTCCTTTTTTAACTGCAGCCATTTGAATTACAAAAATAATGCCTAGTTGTCAAAAGCAGTTGTCAAAAGTACAGAAGGATCTGCAGCAAAGGAATAATGGTCTCGCTTCACAGCCCCCCTAAGGAGCGAGCACCGTTGATAGCCTATTTGGTCCATTCTGGGGTGCACCTTCCCATCACATTTAACACCTCTGAAGTCTGGATGAGGCCTGTGGTAACACACAGAGCTTTGCTGGAAGCCCTGGTCCTTTCTGTACCGTGAAAGCCATGGCTGGGCCTGCGTCAGCTGAAACTTGATGGGATCTGGTGCTTGCAGCTCCTAAGAAGGACTTAGGAGTTTCTGGACATGCCAGTCACTGCCCGCTCTGGGTGCCTGCTCTGCACCCTGTGATGGGGTTGAGGAGCAAGTATTCAAGCATGTCCATCACTGGCAGCCACTGAGTGGAGGCTGGTTCAGAGTTTCCCTGAGGATGGGACCATCATGGATCCGTCACTGCCCCCTGCCCAGCCAAGCAGCCCTGGCACCAGAGCAGTGGCAGAAATTCAGAGCTCAAATAAAAATGTCGTATGCAAAAGGTCAGCTAAAAACAGCCAGGCACAAACAAGGGCAGGAGGTAAAATGAAGACATAGCTCAAAGGTCAAAAGAGAAAGCAGAAGGGCAAAATAGCACACCTGAAAAGACACATATATCCCCACCCCCTGAAGCAAATCCTCTACAGTTTGAACAACTGAACAAAATAGAGGAGAAAGTCATAAAGAGGCAGTGGTGATTGGCCACCCCAGTTCAGACCCTGTGGGTACAGGAGACTTGGGCAGCACCCTCCTGCACCTACCCTATAGTGATATGAGAGCCTGCAGGGGCAGGCCCTGTTCTCAGAGCTCCATGGGACTTAGCAACCTGCAGTCACCCTCACCAGCCAAACAAGGAAACAGGCTCACTGACCTACTGTGACTTGCACAGGGCACTCAGCCACCTAGCTGGCCCCAGAGACCCCAGCTTGACCATGGCGTCAGCAGCATTTGGTGCCAGACAGTAACTGCAAGTCAGTTAGGCTGTGGGAGTCGAGGGGTGCAGGGCCTGGGAGGCCCTGGGCCACAATGGCGCTGTCAGAGAACACACTCAGGAGTGGAAGGATAAGGAACCCTAGCTACTGGGTGGAAGGCAGTGCAGTGGGAGGCGCTTGGCAGGATGCGGGCCACTCCAGCACCACAGTACAGAGTGCACCAGGTGGGATGGCAGCACTGGAGAGCCATGCCTGGGGCATGCTTCAGCTGCAGAGAGATGTCACCAGATGGGCCTTTCAGGAAGGCCCAGTGGCCACAGTGAGAAGGAGTCAGAGGCACAGGCTGGAGGCCTAGGTGCAGATGGATGAGGGCAGAGTTTGCGTGGAAGGCAGGCTCCCAAGGCAGGATGGGGAAATCCAGGGCCTTGGGACCTTGGGAAGCAGCAGAGGGGAGGCTCCAGTGAGACTTGATCTGCTGTGGCTGTTTGTTCAGAAGGGGACAGGAATTGGGGAAACAGGCTGGGGAGAAGCATTGGGCCCCATCCTGGGAAAGGCCTGTCAAGCTCTGTAAGGAGAGACCAGCAGAGCTGGTCGGGACCTGCTGGCAGAAGGCATGTGAATGACTACCCTTAGCAAAGGAACAGGGAGCATCCACCCACCCCACAGGTGCTAGTTGAGGCCCAACTGCACCAGGCCCTGAGGACACCACAGTGCATGCAGCAGACCTGCTCCTTGCTTTGTGGCCTTCTGTTCCCGTGGGTGGGGACAGATAAATGAGAAGTAGGTGGCTTGCCAAAGAGGCCTTAGTGTGCAGAGGAAACTTGCAGTGAGAGAACAGAGGAAGGGGCTTAGATTCCTGCAGCCCCAGTGGAGCTGACCGGGAGGCCCAGTGAGCCTCAGGACGGTCTCCACACAGGGACCTGGCACAGTTCCACCCCAGCCCTGGGCCTCAGGGCCTGTGAGCATTAGGCCATGACTTGGGGCCGGAGGTGCAGAGAGCAGCCCGGGTGTGAGGGAAGAGCAGAGTGGGGACCTGGAGTTGGCTGATGCAGCCTGGGCCAGGGCATGAGGCTGGCTGAGCAGGTGGGCTGATTGTGGGGTGAAGTGGAGGAGATACTGAGGACACCTCGGAGTCTTCACATTCGTGTGGATCCCTCCTGCTGTCCCTTTGGGAGAGCCGATCACTCCCCAAGGTCACATCACAAGCACAGCACAGACACCCGCCAGCCCTTTGCTGTCTCCCAGGGTAGCATCTTTCTGCCTTCTTTCATGCTTTGCTCTGGGGAAGAGAGACAGACACAGCTCTAGGTGTCCAGCCCTGGGCTGAGAACTGATGCCAGGTTTGGCTCTGAGCCTTCCCATGGGTGGCTCTGGGGACTGTCCAGGTCAGGTTTGGGGTGACCAGTAGTTTCCTTTCGGAGGCTTTATGAGAAGCCACCTGGAGGCCAGCAAATAAGTCTTTTCCACCACCATGGAAATTTCCAACAACAGAATTATTAAAACTCCCAGGGCCCTTCTGTGGCCCCACTTGGTTATGAAAAACAGCTCCTTGGTGGCCAGGCAGGGGATGGAGCAGCTGAGAGCCCAGCATTGAAGCTGCCGAGAATCTCCAGTGAGAGACTCCCAAATAGACTGCTAATCAGACCCCAGGGAACCTGGCTTGGAGATCGGGCTGTCTCTCCGGAAGGGATTTCCAGCCGTGAGGGCGGGGAGCCAGGGTGGCCGCCAGCTCTCAGTGCTTGGACAGGTTGGGTCTGGGTCTGATGGGGCTGTGCCGGACATCAGCACTTGAGCACTTGACAAATGTTGGTTAGTCATTAAGGAGGCAGATGGGTAGGAAGGACTGGAGGAGGAGGCGGGAGGAGGAAGGTGTGCTGCAAGACAGATCCACCAGGAATTAAGCCTGCCCTGTGACCGCTGTTAGTCGCACAGTTCTTCCATCTATAAGATGGAGACAGTCATCTCCGCCAGACACAGCGATGGGCAGTAAGAATTGGTGCCTCTGGCTCCATAATGACAGCATTGTCTGTTGACTCCTGGGGACTGGGTGGGAGAGAAGGCTTGTGAGCTATAGAGACAGACCCACATCGTTCTGTGACGCCCTCACCCTGCCACTGTGAGCTGTGTGTTGAGCACCTTTGCCTCGGGGCCTCAGTTTCCCCATCCACAAAATAGGTGATTGTTAGGTCCCCACAGGATGACCATTGATTGCTTCTCCCAGCACAGACCCCCTGCTCTGACCTGGAGGCTAGGGTGGCCAGGAGAGGCCTGTCCCTAGCTGTGTGTGCTGGGGGCTCTGCTGAGGTGCCCCTGGGCAAGCAGAGTGCAGCTGCCTGAACCTCAGTTGTGGAGTTGGGACAGGGCCAGCTGGGAGACTCCCGAGTAGATTGCTACTTTGGTTGATGCAGAAGCCTTGGGAGACTCAGTGGAGGGGCCCTGGGGACAGCCACCAGTCCGTGGGGAAGCCTTAGGCACTGCCAGCCTCCACCTCCCCACCTAGTCAGGCAGAGGCCGTGCTAGGCTGCCCCTCCCTACCTGGGTGGGACCCTCTGTGCAGGCACAGGGCACAGCAGTCATTGACAGAGAGGGTGCAGTACAGAGCAGGTGGCACCCAGCCTCTGCGATGTGGCAGAGTCCATCTTGGTCCTGGCTGCTGTGCTGCCCTCGCTGAGTGGCCTAAGTCCAGCGCAAGCCTCAGCTCCACCCCTGTATGGGGTGTGAGGTGTCATGAGACCACAAGGATCCCCTGTCCAGTGCTGGTCTTCCTTCCAGCCTGCACTTTGTGCTAAGGCCCTGCAGTGTGCCAGTCCCAAAAGACAGCGGGGTTTGACATCAAACAAACCAAGCAGCTGAGGACCCACTCACTCCAGCTTGCCCACGACAGTCCTGGTTTCAACATGGAAAGTCCTGCATCCAGAGAATTTTCTTAGTCTTAGGAAAACAGGTCCCCCACTACAGCCTCCACCCTCACGGGGTGAGAGGGTGATAGTAAGTTGATCATCATAGTTGTTGTGTTGTTTAAAGACTGGCACAGGGTTCTTTTTGATGGGGTCAGGGTGGGCCTCTCCGAAGAGGTGAAAGTTGAAGAGGGAGTTTGTGGGGTGAGGGAACGAGGCATATAGAAATGAGCATGGGAGATAGTAAGCAAAGGCTGTGCCACTGTACTGGAGGGATGAGAAAGGAAGGCCACCGGGGTTGACTGGGACTCCTCTCTTGAGAGCAAGTGATAGAAATACTGGCTCAAGGTAGCTCGAGGGGAAAAAAATATACTGGCTGACTTAATAGGAAAGAAAGCAAGAGGTTGGGCTTCAAGTGTGGCTGCATCCTAGTGCTAAATGCAGTCTACATTTCTCAGCCCTGCCTGCATCTGTGTCTTCATTCTTAGGAGGTCCTAGCAGCCAGCCAGACACCCAGTGAGGGCCAGCTGGGCAAGGGTAGAGATGAGGCTGAGTGTGGCTAGGGTGGAAAGTATGCAGAGTGTCCAGGCAGCCTCAGAGGCCCCAGCAAGATTATGGATGTAAAGAATTAAGGCTTGAAGTAGGGAAGGGACACAGCTGAGTGTGTATTTCAGAACGAGTGTTCTGGGAGGCAGAGGCAGGGGCGCTCACCTGAGTGAGCACTGTGGAGGGGCAGAGATGGAGCTAAGAGGCTGGACTGGGGTCCAGGCCTAGGATAAGAGTGCTGGCAAGAACCTGGCAGATCTCCAATCCACAGACTCTGGGGTGTGGAGGAAGCTCGTGTCAGGGACAAGGCGGGAGCCAGACCCTAGAGCTGGGACTGGTGCCCCACTTCATGCCCTGGAGCCAGAGGCCTGACCTTATTCAACTCCCTCGGTGATGGCCAGGTGGGGCCCCAAGCCTGGAGCCTGAGAGTGAGGGGCCCCAGTGAGGCGAGGAGGGTGGAAGGGACAGCAGAGGACCAAAGGCAGGGGGCCATTGACCTCGTTCCTCCTCCTCCGGTCCTGGGTCCAGGGAAGCCATGTGAACAGCACAATCCTGCATGGGTCTTCGAGCTTCCCAGGATCTGGCCTGGCCTTCACTGGATATTAGGTACCAAGGGCAGCCAGAGAGCCACACCCAGCGTGTGCACAGCAGGAGAGCCATCCAGAGCCCAGACGCTGGGAGGTAGGGCCCACCTCCGACCTGCCAGATAGAGCTGAGTGGCTTGGGCCACACATGGAGCTAGTTGTGGATGGGGCAGTCTGTGGACAGCAGAGCTAAGCCCCCAGGGCATGTAGCCGAGCCACTGTCAAAGACCACGTTCAGAAACAACTAGGCCTCCTTGTGGGGGTGTGTGAGGAGAAGACAGAGACACAGAGGGCCTGCATGTTAGAGCACAGCTGGGCTCTGGTTGTGTGTGGAGAGCCTCTGTGGGCTCAGCGCCCTCACACAGGTCACCTAGCAGCACGTCCTTCTGGGTGTCACCATCCACCACGTTACGGTGAGGACACGCAGCCAAGGAAGTGTTTGCCTGAACAATTGTGCCAAAATTAGTTCCCAGAAGGTCAGAAATTGCAGGTAGTGAATATCTCCCCCTTATGCCACGAGGTCATGTGTGGAACTTTGTACTTTAGAGGGCTTGGAGGACCCTACTTCAAGAAGGAAATTGGTCTTTTTGCTTCATGTTTTTTTTCTCCTTCCCTCTCTCTCTCTCTCTTACCTTCCTTCCTTCCCCTTCCTTCTTTCCTTCCCTCCTTGCTTTTCCTCCCCCACCCTTCCTTCCTCCTTCCTTCCTTCCCAAAGTGTTTGCAGGTGATCTGCCCTGTGCCTAATGCTGTGCTAGGCCTAGGAATACAGTCCTGATAGGAATACAGGTATAGGCCTTGCCCTCAGTGCTCTAGGGTCCAGCATTAACCCAGCCACAAAAAGACAACCATGGTAAGTGTGACAGCAGAGGATGTTAGTGGGTGAATCAGGGAAGGCTCCCTGGAGGAGGTGAGAGTACTTTCGTTGGGGTTCATGGGAGGAAGCAGCATTCCAAGATGAGGGAACAGAGCAAAGGTGGGAGTAGCATCAGTGTGACTGGAGCAGACGCGGTAAGGAGAGTGGGCACTACCCAGGCCGGAGGAGCAGGGCCAGCACCCACGGAAGGCGGCGCTGAGGAACTTGTCTTCATCTTCAGAGCAGAGCAGGGAGGGGATGCGATGTGACCAAAGTTGCTCTACCAAGCAGCAGGGAGGCACCGAAGAGCCGTCGGACTGGCCAGGCATTGTGGCGCACGCCACAGTGAAACCAGCACTCAGGAGGATCAGAGCAGGGCAACTGTGGCTACACAGTGAGCTCAAGGCCAGCCTGAACTACAGAGTGGGACCCCGTCTCAAAAAACCAAAACCAAGCAAACAAACAGCCACTGGAGTCGTCTGAACAGGAGATGAGAAATCGGATAAGGCCAAGGGCTCTGGAGAATGATTTCAAGGAAAAGTAGGAAGGAGGCAGGGCTTCAAGGAGGAGGAAGAGGACGACGAGGAGGAGAGTGATAAGGGGGTTCTTGCCTCCTGAATGGCCCCTGAGAAAAGGTGGGGACTTTGCAGGAGCCTGAGGCCGGTGGGGTTAGGGTTAGAGGTCAATTCAGATATGCTGGCTTTGTGTCCCTACCTCACACCACACACAGAACTAAACTTAGATGGGAAACTCAGAGGGGAAAGCTTTGTGATGTTGGATTTGGCAGTAGTTTCTTGGATATGACACCAAAAGCCTAATGAGCAAGACAAAAATAGATAAATTCAAACTTAAAAACTTTAGTGCATCCAAAGACTCTTATCAGCAGAGTACAAAAGCAATCCAGGGGATGGGAGAAAGTATCTGCCAGCATACATGTAATAATGGATTAATTTCCAGAATAGGTTAAAAAAAACTTACTATAAATCAACAACAAAAAGACAACCCAATTTAAAAATGGTAAAAGGCCTTAAATTGACATTTCTCCAAAGAAGATGCACACTTGGCAAAACACACACGGAAAGATGTTCACCATCACAGGTCATTAGAGAGGGACGCAGAGCAGAACCTGAGGCGCTACTTCACACCTGTTAGGATGGCTGTTATTTAAAAATAACACACACATGCACCCAGAACACAGGAAACAAGTGCTGGCAAAAGTGTGGGGCATCAGCACCTGTGGGCATGGCTGTGGGAATGTAAAACAGTGACACTGCCATGGAAAGCCCTGTGGCAATTCCTCAAAAATTTAAACCCAGGATCATCACATGGTCCACAGT